CCAGATAGGCATCTCTGGGTTGCATAAGTTCGATAAACGACACGCGATTGTCTTCTGGAGCTTATGCTGGGGTCAGGTGTCTTGGGCAGGTGTCACTACAGAGGCAGGGTCTCCAAATCGACTACCCTTTGATCCCTCAGGATCCATGTCCATTATCTGAAATACCTCAAACGATTTCAGGATTGATTTCCCATTCTAGACATGAAAGTAACCTTGCTAGAAAGGTTCAAACCCCAGTAGCCCTGTCGAAGTCAATCATCTCCTCAAAAGGAACGTAGCCTGAACCGAGCTTCAAAAATTCAAACAATCTCGAGCGTTTGAGGAGAGCAGTTCAAAAAACTAAATTGTTTCCTTCTTGCATATTTTAATATTTTGTGCTACAGAATGGAGGAATTGAATGAAAAAGCTGAAAACAACTTCGAGCCGGCTGAAGCTCCCGCGGCGGAGCCATCCGCGGTCGAGGAACTCTCGGAAGAGGAATTAGCCGTGAAAAGGAAGATCCAGATGACGCTCCTTAGGATAGCTAAAGCTAAGAAGGAGAAGGAGGTGGCCGACGAAAAAATCCGGAAGATTGAGGAAGTCTGCCACAAGTACATGGACTGCGATGACGTGGAGTTGCTGAGGAGCGAAATACTGAAGGTGCTTAATTCTTGATGCCATACTTGTGGTACCCTGCTTGTGAATAGTGCATAGATGGAGTGCTTCATTGGATTTGTTCTTAAAAATTAAAAAGCGTTCAGTTCAAAAATAATAAATATCTATCTCTGAAGACTTCCTGTTCGGCACTATGGGGGCTTTCTTGGGGGTACTTTTTGTAGAATGCGACATTTTCACAAATGGATCCAAATCATGACAATATATTAACCAATTCCCATCCGATTCTTAAGCGGAATACCTTAAACGATTTGTGGATTGATTCTTCACCAATCTGCATCAAAACCTCGACAATAAATTTTTGATCCCCATTTTTCAAATTTTTCCAGGGGCACCCATTATGAAATCTAGGATTTTCCTATGTGGCCCCAATCCACGTTCATATCTCCACCAATTCCCATCCGATTCCGAAGCGGAATACCTTCAACGATTTGTGGATTGATTCTCCACCAATCCGCATCAAAGCCTGGACAATAAATTTTTGATCCCCATTTTTCAAATTTTTCCAGGGGCACCCCTTATGAAATCTAGGATTTTCGTATGTGACCCCAATCCACGTTCATATCTCCACCAATTCCCATCCGATTCTTTAGCGGAATACCTTAAACGATTTGTGGATTGATTCTCCACCAATCTGCATCAAAACCTGGACAATAAATTTGTGATCCCCATTTTTCAAATTTTTCCAGGGGCACCCCTTATGAAATCCAGGATTTTCGTATGTGGCCCCAATCCAAGTCCATATCTCCACCAATTCCTATCCGATTCCGAAGCGGAATACCTTAAACGATTTGCGGATTGATTCTCCACCAATCTGCATCAAAACCTGAACATAAAATTTTGGATCCCCATTTTTCAAATTTTTCCAGGGGCACCCCTTATGAAATCCAGGATTTTCGTATGTGGCCCCAATCCAAGTCCATATCTCCACCAATTCCTATCCGATTCCGAAGCGGAATACCTTAAACGATTTGCGGATTGATTCTCCACCAATCTGCATCAAAACCTGAACATAAAATTTTGGATCCCCATTTTTCAAATTTTTCCAGGGGCACCCCTTATGAAATCCAGGATTTTCGAATGTGGCCCCAATCCAAGTTCATATCTCCACCAATTCTCATCCGATTCTCAAGCGGAATACCTTAAACGATTTGTGGCTCGATTCCCCACCAATCTGAATCAAAACCTGCACACAACATTTTTTAAATTTTTCCAGTAATACGTTTTCTTATAGTGATCAGTGCATAGTTGAGACTTGGGAGTGACCTTGCTAGAAAGGTTCAAGCCCCAGTAGCCCTGTCGAAGTCAGTCATCTCCTCAAAAGGAACGTAGTCTGAACCGAGCTGGAAAAATTTTAAACAATCTCGAGCGTTTGAGGAGAGCAGTTCAAAAAAAAGAAATTGTTTCCTTCCTGCATATTTTGATATTTTGTGCTACAAAATGGAAGAATGGTATAAAAAAGGGGAAAAGAGCTTCAAGAAAGTAGGCCAACACTTCTTCAACTGGGTGTCGACTGAAGCTCCCGCGGCGAAGCAATCGTCGGCAGAGCAATCAGCGGTCGAGCAATCCTCGTCGACTTCGAATGGATCAGCGGAACCGAACACCACCTTTTGGGGGATCCGCAAGCTACTGAACCTAAGGCTGGCCAAGAGGGAATGTGTTGAAGTGAAGAAGGAAAAGAAGACGCTCGTAGAACTAATGGAGAAGATTGAGGGACTCTGCAACAAGTACCCGGACGCCGATCAAGGGGAGCTGCTGAAGGACGAAATAATGGAACTGCTGGATTAGGGTACTAGCGGGTCCCCTGCTGGTGAAGAGTGCATAGATGGCACTTTATATACTTCTTTGGATATGTTATTAAAAATTACAATGCGTTCAGTTTAAACTAATCCATCTCGAATCCTTTTTAATTCCAAAATAATTACCAACATGAGCTATGAGGCGAGAACTATTCACGTTGCAGGTGCCTTCTTAGATCCTCTGATTGATGGCCTATTGGTATTTGGTTGGGACGTTAGCTGGAGGTGGAGGTGCCAGAGCCGGAGGAGCTCCATAGACTGGCACCGGGACTCCAGTCCGCTCCAGGCCGTGTTTACCGTTTCGGTTTCAATTGGCATCGCGAGTCGCAATTGAGGGGCAGATTTCGCAAAGCGGATTGGAGTCGGCATGCGAGGCACGTTGCCGGGGCCCGGGCAGTGAGTGGCTTCGAAAAGCACTGGCAGGCATGGAAATCGGGGAGTTTGGTGGAAAAGCTGGGCATATAAATCGACGCCAGTTGTCAACGGGCTGTAGCGGTTGTCGTGGCCATGGGCGGTCAATTGGCAGCTAAAGTTGTGATTCCAGGGGCTCTAGCTCTAGCTCAAGCTCAAGACTGCGAGACTTTAAGACTCAAGACCTGAATGCCAAACCGTGCAATTAAAATGAGCCGTTAAGATGCGTTTGCGATATAAAAACCGAACCGATGAAATCTTCAGCACATGTGGCGGTCGTGTCATTGATGGATGCAGCTTTTACCCAAAAAAAACTAAACAGAAATCCATGAGGAGTGGAAGATACTCTAGGAAAGGGCTCAGAGCGGAAGCCATCCTCTAGCTTATCTACCCTAGTTTTTGCAGAGTACCAGGCCAAGGGCCAGAAGCCAGTTAACCGTCTCACAGCACATCGCACTTAAACCCAAACTCAAGCTTTGATTTCGATTCCGGCGGGCAATTGAAACGCTTTGGATTTGTGTGTTAATGGGGCTCGATCTTGGCCAAATCCAGGGGCCAACTAACTGAAATGGGGTGCGGGGGCGCTGGTCGAGCTGCGTGCTCATTCCGCTCGATAAATGCGGCCGGCCTCGGAGTGGCTCGGACGTGTAACGGCTGCCGGAGAAGAAAGCGTTCCGCCAAAAAAGGGGCACCAAAAAAAACCAAAAAGCTAAAGATCCAAAAACAAAAAACATAAATAAATAAAAACAAAGGCACATCGACTGCCAAACGAATCTCTTCGAGGTCAGCAATTGAAGGCACCCGCGGGGAATTCAATTAAGTTTTCTAGCCCCAAAAGGGGCCTGTAATGTACTGTGCTGTGCTGTGCTGTGGTGCAGGTGGTGTGGGTGGCTCACTGATGGTTTCTGGTGGTGGTGCCGCAGGTATGCGCATTGTTAATTTGTCAAAATGCAAATGCCTTTGCCAAATGGCTGCCAAAGTCACCCACGGGCCATATCAGCTCTCAGATATATCTGGAATTCTACACTGAAAAAAGTATATGAGTGGCTTAAGATATGAGGTCTGACTTCTGTCTATAAGGCTTCTGAAACTTCTCCCAGTGGACAGTAGTCTTGAAATCCCGGGACTGACATCTGTCCGTAACTGAAATCCGTAATCAAACGGTGCCTGGTGACCACTGTCTTCTCTCCACCGTCCACTGTCCACTGTCTCCTGTCTTCTATCCACTGTCTCCTGTCCATCTCGAATGCAAAAATAATGCTCCATCGGAGACGGAGACACTTGCTTTGTGGTTTTGGGAGTGTCGCCCCAGGGGACTCGACTCGAATTCCTCGGCGTAGACAAAAGAGCTTGTTTTGTGTGCTGGGCGTCCAGAAGAAAGCCCCCAGAAGACGGGGCGGGCCCAGAAAAAAGAGCCAAAGCGTGGAGACGGAAAAGTTTTACGTAATCAAGCCGAGGGATTATTTATGGGAATTATCGTGTGAGTTGCATGATCGAATCGAGGTTTGAGGTCCGACTCGACAGGAATGCGAAAAATATAACGAGAATCTTGCCAAAAAGAGAGAGGAAAAGCTAAGAAGAATGGTCTACAATGGAGTCTTCTAACTTGACTAGCCTTATTTCGTTTTTAAGGTAAAATAAAACATTATTTTGTAAAGAAAACTTAATAGCAGACAAAAGCCTATTAACAATTTAGTTTATAAATGTAAAATAAGTTAAAATAAAAACTTTATTTCAGGGATTTAGTTTTTAAAAAATTTTATAAATTAAATGTAAAAACAAACAAGACTGCCAGTCTTATAAATAATTTACATTTTACAAGAAAAGTGTTTAGAGAAAAGATTCTTTTTGTCTGTAAGATCTGCTTTTAATATTTTTCAATTAAATATTATTTTTTTAAATTAAAAAAGTATCTCCAACTATCTGGCAATACTTGTCTTAGCCAAGTCACCAACCACCACAGTCGAGTCTCCACAAACTCTCCACTCGCTGGCGTTTCTCAGCACTAGCTTTTCCGCAGCTTCGGATGCGAAATCGGCTGTCGGCGGGAAATGAGCCGAAGCGCCGAAGTGCCGGGGTCCTGGCGAGTCCTTTAAGGCAAAGGATGCTTCGAAATTTGCGCAGTTTGCGTGCGGTTTTCGGAGCTAAAGGACGCAGCAGCTAAAGCAGCAGTAGCCGCAGCACTAGGAGCCGTCGTAGCAGCGTGAAACCAGCCTCCGAATATTCGGATTCAGTGACTTGAAAGGCCCCCTTCCCCCCAGAGCCTGTGAGTCCTTAACACACAACACCCCGCCCACCCTGGTCCAGCACCGCCTCTTCCGGCGGCAACCGCCCTTACCCCCCAAATCACCTACCGAATTTGGCGCGGTTTCCGAGCGTTTAAAGACGCGCCTTGTTGTTACTGCTGTTATAGCCGCATCGTGGTCGCGTTCTATATATCCCATATATATCTCTATATATTGTTTTTTTTTGGGTTTGCTTGTTTTTTGCAGTGTAGAGTCCAGTGCAGTGCTAGAACAATTGAAAATTTATGAATAACTGCCGTGAAAGACTGGAGGCTAAAAAACTGAAAAGTTATTTGCGAAAATAAACCGAAAGGATATATAGTGAGGCTGTGAAAGGCTCTGCAAGGACCCTTGGATTACCTTGCGGGGCGAGTGGAAGCGCGAGTGCCAAACGCCGCCGGTAAGTCAACTTTTTTTCAAACAATTCGAGTTCTTTTTTTCGACAAATTGTTTGCTTGGTTTTGGTTTTATTTTTACGAGAAATATTAATTTATAAATGCTTGATTTTGCTCTTCATTTTATTATTTAAGAGCTTAATTATTTAACATTCAATTGTGATTGATTTGGGTTCCAAAGAATGCGTTTAAAATAATGGTTTTCTGTTTGAGAATTTCTCTCTCCAGCCAGATTTTAATATTATTTCTTATTTATTTCATAAGGGAGAGTTGTCCTTACAAAGCAGAGTCCTTTGGCCCTTGGATTACATTTTTGATGGGCTTAGGTCTTAAAGAGATAGTTGCCAGGCCATCTGCAGCCTTTTCTTTATCATTTTTTAATATTTTCTTGGGACTCCTTAAGGGCAACCTTTCTCCACTCGATTCCATAGGATTTGTGTGTATTTATAGATTCCTTCTTTCATGCCATTTGGCCTGCCATTATCGACGCCTTTATTGTGCTTCCGCATTTATTTTGCACCCCATCCTGCCCAGCTACCCCATCCTGCCCAGCTCCCATTTGTGTATTTCGTTTGTTTTTCTGCAGCCGCAAACTTTTCGCTCCTTTCGCCCTTTGATGTGCTGTCCAACTAGTCCGGGTCCGGGGCAGAGGCGGAGAGGCGGAGAGGGTGTGGCCGGACCAAGGACCCCGGACCCAGGACCCAGGGCAGTGATGATAGGCAACTTGTTACGATGACCACGATGATGAGCGAATTGAAAGCCTTTGTGCCTGCTTGCGGTTTTGTCCATTTTTGGAGCCCATTTTCCATTTTCCACTTTTCAGAAAGAGAAAAACCCTTTTTTTTTGTGTGTGCCAGGACAGGGTCCTGTGCTGTGAAATCGAATCATTTGGCAGGCTTTATATTTAATTTGCATGGTCTGGTCTGGTATGGTTTGGTCTGGCCGCCCACTCCCTTCATCCAAACTCCGAAAAGGGTTCAAAGGACACGGAGGGATTCCTTTCGAGCAGTTGACTAAATTAAATAAAGGCGGCTTGTAGCAACAGTTTGCGGTGTTTTCGCTGCAAAGTATGCCACGAATTTGTACATCATATTTTTTAATTTTCTTTCTTTTTGGGGCTGGGATAGGAAGGATAACGAAGGCCAAAGAGGGAAAACTAGGTTACAAGGAGCTATGGCCCGAAACCCGATCGCATTGTTGAGATACTTTCCGCATTCTGTTTATGTTTCTTATGGCTTTCGTTGCTTCATTAGTTAGTCCTTGAGCAGAGCAGAGAGTCCTTGGCTTGTCATATTTTGCAAATTTCATTTCCATTCTTCGCGTCCAGGACTCGCAGGAGAGATTGGGATTTTGAGATTGAAAGGCAGAGACCCACTTGAGTGCGCTGGAAACCTGCTGCTGGCGTTTGTCGCATTTGTTTGTTTCGGTGCGGCGGTGGGACGAGCAGGGCAGGGCAAGGACAACAAGGACGACGAGTCCTGCGGCAGCGGCAGCCGCAGAAAATGGCCGCCTCGACAGCGGCAGCCACAGCGCCCGGCCACAAATGAGTGCAACTTGCCGCGGCTCAGGACGAAGACGCTGCAGCAGAGGATGATGCTGCCACGCCGAGTTGCCACAACGACAGCAGCACAATAGCAGCAGCAGCACCAACAATGCCAAGTGCCAACCACGCCGAGCAGCGAAATTAAGTGCCAAAGGCAACCACCGAGACAAGCGCGACAGAAAGCGAGAGAGACTTTCATCAAAACTGAAATTTGCATAAAAAACAAAAGGAACAAGGACCTGCATCTCCTGGTCCTCGAAGAACCTGTAAGAAGGCGGGCCCAGCATCGCGGAGACATGTCGGCGACACCCTGGTTGCTCCTCCTGCTGGCCACCGCCGGCAGCACCTTGGGCGGGCCCCTGCACCACCAGGACCTGCCGGTGGCCGTCTCCCCCACTCCGACGGAGCCCGGAGTCACGGTCTCCAGCCAATCCAACCAAACGCCAAAACCCAACGAGTCAGCCCATGTGGCTACACAAGTGCCAACCACGCCAGCACCACTGGGCAGCAACAGCACCACTGCACCACCTTTAAGTAGAACAAGCAGCACCACTGAAGCATCCACAGTTGCTCCACCAGTACCCAAGGAAGTCAAGGAGGACCTGCAGTGGCTGCACCCACAACCACCGGCGGTGGTGCAGCTGCTGGAGTTAGAGAACACAGAGGCACCTCCACCACTGGACAGCGGCCACGATGGCAGGAAGCTGACCAAGAAGAAGCAGCTACAGCAGCAGCACTTTCCCAGCGGCAGCACCACTCCAGCAGGCAGCACTCCAGCTAGCACCACTCCGGAAAGCACCACTCCGGCAAGCACCACTCCGGAAAGCACCACTTTGGCAAGTACCACCCCAGCTAGCACCACCACGACTAGCACCACAGTGACCACCACCACGGCAACCACTACCATAGAGACGGAGGTGGAGAGAGTGCCCACAACCACCCCCGAAAGGATAACTGAAAGCAGCACCACACCGGAGATTACTGTCGAGGAAGAGGAAGCGAAGAGCAGCAGCGCCACCCCCTCTACGACCCCCACCAAGCCACCGCCCTCCGCCACGCCCCTGCTGCCGGTGCACAACGGCTATCTGGGACCCATTTTCATGGGCGAGAAGACCTTCAGCGTGGTGCATCCTCTGAGGAAGCCGCAGCCGCCGAACCACCAGCACGTGGCCTCCATCGAGAGCCAGCTGAAGAACGGCCGGTTGGTGGAAATCCTGGCGCCGACGGCTCTGCTGGAGCAGCAGGTGCCGGAGACCACCACGGCGCCATCGCCACCGCCGGGCCTCACCGCCTCCGTGCTCTCCACCACCGTTTTCCAGGTGCCCGAACTGCAGACCAGCACGACCCGCCTGCCGGGCACCACCAACGGCGGCGAGCGCACCGAGTCCAAGATATCGGACATCCAGATCGAGGTCTACGACTCCACGGTGGACTCCATAGTGGCCTCCACGAACTTCCGGGACAACGAGGGCTTCTACGCCCCGTCTCCGCTAGAAACAGGACCGGGCACCACCAAACCACCCCGGGAAGTGCCGCAGGAGCGGTTCACCCAATACGTCATCGATCGGGCGGACGTGTCTACGCAGCCCGCGGGCGGAGGCGCTCCCGGGCTGGGCAAGCCCGAGCCGGCGGCCATCGAGATCCACATCAACGTCTCCGAGGCATTCGGAAGCGAGAGCGAGGACCTGGAGTTCTCCTACCGGCAGCCCAACGACAAGTCCGGCTCCTCGTCCCTCGGAAAGACAGGCGGGGACGAGATCCTGGTGGTGGAGATCATCGACAGTGGCTCCGACAACAGCAGCTCCGAGTCTGGATCCCTGGCCGGCAGCTCCGCCTCTTCGGAGCACCTGAATCCTATCTTCACGTTCCGCAACTCGGACGCGGCGGCAGCACCACCGCCCCCCGTACGTCCTCCGCAAGACACCACCGCCGACGAGCTGTTCCTGGCTGATCCTAGGCCGCCGCCACCGCCACCTCCGCCGCCGCCGAGAAAGCCCAGCATTGACCGTGACTCGGACACCATATTCTACATCTCGAACACGGAGGTGAAGGTGGGCGAGTCCCTGCCCACGGTGCTGCCCGGAGGCGGCGGAGCGGAGCAGCGCAAGTACCAGCTGGAGAACCAGTTCTTCCCCCTCCAACAGCCGGCGCGCCCCTCCGAGGAGGACATCATCCTCTCGCCCTCGCCGCGCCACAGCGCCGACTCCTCGCTGAAAATCTTCCGCTCCAGCTCGGGTTCCGTGTCCGGGAGCAGTGGCGACGGAGCTCCACCTTTGGACGTAACCTACGTGGGCGAGTCCGTAATTGAGGTGGAGCAGCAGCAGCCGGTGCAGTCCACGGTGGCACCACAGCAGCAGGACATCATCATCCAGCCGGCCGTCCTGCCGGACCTGGCCATCGGAGTGCCGGTGATCGGGGAGCTGCCGCCGCAGATCGAGCTCAAGGAGATCGACTACATGCCCTCGGACCTGGGCGGGATGTTCGACGCGGACCTGCACGGGAACAGCATCGACAGTGAGCCGGACGTGATCGAGAGCTCCATCCAGTACGGTGGGGACCTGATCGACGACGGAGCTGGCGGAGGCTTTGACGGCGTGGAGGGTTCCTATCCCTTCGAGAGTCCCTCGCACCGCCAGCAGGGACTGAGCCACCTGCCGAACCGCCCGCTGGACAGCCACCTGCACCGGGACCAGCTCCCAGTGGCGGAAATGGTGAATGCCACCCTCCTGCAGAGCGAAGCGGGTGCGGGATCTGGATCTGGATCGGGTTCTGGATCGGGCTCTGGCTCGGCCTCGGCCATGGCTCCTCTTCTCTCCGGCAGCCGGACCATGAACGCCACCGGTCTCTCCGACGAGTCCATGGGCGACTACGAAGGTGAGTTTCGGCCTCCCTGGAGGATCGTAATCCTGGCTAACCTTGCTCTTCCTTTTTGCAGGATTCTTTAATGTGTTTGCCGTGTCCACGGGCCTCATCATCGTCATCCTGCCCTCGGCCCTGCTGGTGTCCATGTACTGCGCCATCAGGTAAGTGGAAGGACCTCCGGGGGAAGGATTACTCAATCCCCATAAGCGGGGAAATAGAATTTTGCCAATTAAGAGGATGAATCCGTCTTATCTGTCCGCTAGGCCTTTTGGCCCGTCTTGGCCCCGTGGTGGCCCTTGTTGGCCCGGCTAATTGCTTACGCCTCGTGTGTTGCCTAATCAGCTTAGCCACTGATGTCCTGGCGCACACAAATCAAAAATAATTGCAAGCCGGCCGGGAATTGACAGGAAGGGATAAGCGGCGGGGGTGGGGGGGACGCGGAGGAAGGCCCCAGGCCGGGATAGACTTCCTGTTCAGGGGAGAGGGTGGCAACCCTAATCCGTTCGCTTCTATTTTAAGGATTTCCGGTGGCTGCTCTTTGCCTTTGGCGGAATGTGTTGCCTGCTTTTCAGCGCCCACCTACGCATACCTGAAGAATGCACTCAATCCACAGCAATTTGCCAGGACCTTAGCCTCCCCCTCCCCGCCCCCTAGGCAGTGGCGTGGCAAATCGCATTTATCAGCCTCATTCGTGGCGTTTTATTTCTCATTCGCATTCCCACCACCCGACCGACAGACAGACAGACAGACAAGAAGGCAACAAAACATTGACAAATCTGTGACGAGGTGGGGGCCGGGTGGCTGAGACTGCCTTACTGGGGGGGTGGCTGGCAGGCACATCCTTTATCGCCCGCAGTCTGTCCCATACATAAATCTTGGCAACGCCACGAATCGGGCGCCCGAATCTTTGGGCGAAGCCGCTTTCACGGTAAACACACATCCCCAAAAAGCCCCAGCTTAGGCTGTGAAGTAGGAAGGAGGAGGCTGGAACGCCAGCAACTTCCTCTCAGTGTACTCCGGATAGAAAGTGGGAAAAGTGAAACCGGGTGTCAGATTGCCGTCAGTCTCTGAAGAAGAAACTGAAGGCGCAACAAATCAAGACGACGGAATCGAGACTCGCAGCGGCCGGAAACGGAAGTCGCCACACACACACACATCTAAAGGGAGCTAACAAGGCAGCTGTTTCGGCAAAGGTGATCCCTGAGCCTTCTTATAAAGCATGTTTATGCTTTTCCCGACTTTTTCCCGAGTGCCGCAGGAAAAACGCATAAAACGGCAAATGGCAACCGCAAACGTTGCCAGTTTGTTGTTGCCCCACACGCCCCAGCCACCCGGATAAAAGGTGGCCCAGTCAAAATAAAAAGGAAACACACAATTTATTTGCCTTATTTCTTGGCAGGACACTCTGCGGCTATGTGTGTGTGTGGTTGTGAGGAAATTGCACAATAAACTCTCGAGACGAGAAATTAGTTGTGCGTGTGGCTCGTTTTCGGCGGCTTTCCAACTTGAAATTTGTTGAGTGCCAATAGCGCTACGAGGGCAGTACGAAGTGGGTACATAGACGATACTCTGGGGACCAAACTTTCCCATGGAAATGTTTCATATTAATGGCACTGAGAGCTCATTGTGTTCGGAATTCGCTGCCGACATGAATCATTTCTGTGAAGGACACGATTATTTATGGTGCTAGGCAGGGGGGGTGGGGGCTTTCGCTTACAATCAACTTTTATTTGAGCATGCCCACCACCCCTCCACCACCCCTCTTCCTTGTGAGAAATCCAGCGTATTAGCCAAGTAATTGCAGGCAGCCGCAAAGTAGGCAACAAAATGTTAATTCCAGTCGCGGCATCATTAGAAATGCATTGGATTTCGAAACTCTGAGCTCTCTCGGAGCACTTTTCCAGCTTTCGCCACCTATCACCAATCTACTTTCTACTTTCTTCCTCCCTCTCTCTCTCTTTCTCTCTCTCTCGCTCTGTGTTGCTGTCTCTTTTCTACAGGTATGTGCTGAACAACAAGAACTCTTCATCTGGCGGCGCGGGAGGCGCCCATGGCGACGACAGCGAACAGGGCCAGGACTCCAAGCACGAGGTAAGTTAACAGCCCAGCCTCAGTCCCCAGACCCCAGCCCCCCTTTAGAAAAGCAGAACACTTTTGAAAGCCCTCGCCATCCCCCACGCCCAGTCCCCCCTCTCAGACTTGATGGAAATTGAAATTTAAACGCAAGTGCCATCCCCTTGAAAGTCCCCTGGATCCTGGATCCTGGATCCCGAATGCACTCGGGCTCTCGAGAAAATTAAACAATGGCGGAAATTTCCGGTGGAAATTTTATTGCTTTCGCTGAAAGATGAAATTAAAGACGGGCCAGTGCAGCTTAAACCGGAGGAGGAGCTCATGGAGGAGCTGCACCCCAAAAAGTAACAGCTTTCCAAATTGAATTTAAAGCCGAGACCGAAACGGACTTGATAGAATCCAGTCGGATTCGGGTCCTGGAACCAAACTGGAACCAAATTGAATTTGATTTTGAAGGCCTTGGCAGAAGTTCAAGTCGGAGTTGACTTTGAAATTGAAATTAATTCCGCCGTCTGGTAATGAAATTCTTGGCTGCCTGACTGGTCGAGAGCGAGTGTGTGTGTCAGTGTGTGTGTGTCGTATGTCCTTGCTGCTGCTTTCTTCATATTCCCCCATTCCTTCGGGCTATCTTGCAGTCGGCCTCCTCGTCACTCTCATCGACTGCCTCGGCATTTGCATCCGCCTCGTCCTCGTCCTCCTCCGCCTCCTGCCCGCCGCCCGTCTACCCCACCACTGAGCATTTTCTGGAGTCCCTAGAATTCCGTTTCGAGATGCCAGAGGCTAGAGGTCTCCAGACTCCCGGTGGTGCGGCGGCAGCCTCAGCCGGGGAGGTGCCGAGGGCACCGCCCCTACCCGCCAGCGGCTCCGTCACCAAGATGACTCTGAAGGACAATCATCTGATTGTCGTCACCGAGGAGCGTCACGTAAGTTCGCCAGCCACCGCCGGATCGGTGTCCTAGTCCCTGATCTTGTTCTTGGTGTCTCTTTCTCTCTGTCCACCTTTTTCTCTCTCTGCCTGTCTGCCTGTCTCACTTGCACGCTCTGTTGTCTCGTTCGCTCTGGTCGGGAGTGGGGAGTTGGGAGGATTTTTTTGTGTCATCTGGATGTTGTCGTAGTTAGTTGGCCTGCCCTCCCCTCCAAAAAATAAATGAAATATCCCCGACATGGTTCGAACTCTCTCTCTTTCTCTCTCTCATGCTGCCCGTCTCTGTCACACATCTGCATCTGCATCGCACAGATATTTATCGTTTAGTGATTTAGTGGATACCTAGAGGTGTTTATTTTTCTCATTTTTCGTTCGAATTTCAAAAATAATTTATGGCGATTTTATTGCTTATGCCGTTCTATTTCCATTTTTGAATTTTCTGTTTAAATTTGTATGTTTATTGTTTATTGTTTGTTGTATATTGTTTATTGTTTATTGTTTAGTGATTGCGATTGAAATTGAAACATCAGTTTTGGAGTTTATTGGCGCACTCCCATGCATATCTTGCAATATTTCGTATGTCCTTCTATGTAAATTCCACAAAATCAGGTTAAAGGACTCGGTGTGTTTGGTAATTAGTTCTGCACTTGATTGTTTCCTTGTTGCCTGGTCCTTGCAGCTCGAGTGTCCTTTTGATTCTCATCCGCCTGGTCGATTGCCCTGGAATGTCCTGTGCCGGTGTCCTGCGGCCCGAATGATTTTGACAGCCAAAGCCTGGTGTCGTCTATTTGTCAACCCTGCGGGCCAGGAGCCAGGACACCACTGCGAGCTTGTGTATGTGTGTCGTGGCCTCGAGGCGCGACTGGCTCTGTGTGAGTGTGTGTGTGTGTCTGCGCAAGGATATGCAAATGCAATTTTCGACACTTTCCGCATGGCAGCCAACCGATTTGTCTGCTCTGTCGCCTTCGCTCCTGTTACCCTGTTATCCAGTCTTCAAGGACTCTCCTCCTCTCCTCTCCTTTCCTTCCTTTCTGTTCTGTTCTGTTCTTGGTGTTGTGTTGGATGTTAGTTGGATGTGCCTGTGTCCTGCACCCACTTAGCCTGCTTTAGCTGTTCATTGATTTCCTCGGCCTTGCAGGACATCTCCCGCAACGCCCGGGAGACCAAGATGCACACCGACAAGGACGGCGTCTTCGTGGTGGAGGTGGCCCGCGGCATCGACTCCAAGAACCTGCAGCCCGGCGAGGCCCCCGCCTCGAGTCTGGAGACCACGGAGCTGCCCTTCGACACCAAACTGACGGCCAATGGACTGCACCACCTGGACGAGCAGTCGCTGCCCCCCAGCCACGAGCAGGTCCAGATTCATGCTCCGCCGCAGGACTTTGCCGGCACCGGACTAGCCCCCCTCCACCTAATTGAGGAGGCCTCCGAGGAGCAGGCCCAGGAACCAGAACACGACCCTGAGGTCCACGCCCGCACCGGCCTCTCGCAGTCGGACCTGAGCTCCACCTCGTCCGGGGACTCGAACAAGCGCTACTCCTACGGCAACCAGGAGCTCTACGTCATCGAGCAGCCCGGCTACGCCACCAGCTCTCCCACGGCCAAGCCCATCCTAGTGACCCCCAAGGAGGCTTCTCTAATGGAAGGAAACACTGGCGAGGAGGTGAAGGAAGTCAAGAAGTCAGAGCCTGAGACCTCAGAAAACCAAGAGGTTCCAGCTTCAAAGAAACCAGAACTCTTTGAAGAGAAACCTCCAGTTGAAAAGAAAGAGGAGCCGGAAGCTCCAGAGGAAAAGAAAGAAGAGACTCCCCCACAGACCGAAGATCAGCCAGAGCCGGAGAAGGAAGAGGAAATCAAAGAAACAGAGTCAGAATCAAAGCCAGAAGTTAAAAATCCAGACGTGGAAGAACCTAAGCTGGAGGAAACCAAACGGGAGGAAAATAAGCCGGAAGAAACCCAAACCCTCGCAGAAACCGAAGCCGAGAGCAACTACGACAGCCTGATGAGCCTCCCGGCACCTCCATCCACCGAGGAGATCAAGGAGCTGGGCGACTACGCCACCACCGCCCTCCTGGAGTCCAGCCAGATGGACTCGCTGCCGCCGCCACCCCCGCCGGCGATGCAGGAGCAGTCGGAGATCATCGTGGCCAATGGAAATGGCATTGGAAACGGCAAGGACCTCGACTTGGACGCCGGCGAACCCACCACCCTAACGCCGCCCGCCTCGCCGCCGTCATCGCCGCCACCACCCAGCACCACCGGATGCGGGGGCCTGGCCAACGGAATCCACGCCATTCCCACGGCGGTGGATGTGAACGGAAGTTAAGACGGAACCGGATCCGAAGGCGGATTGGGGTAAGCAAGGCATTTTTTTTTTTTCGCACTCGGCGGTCAGATCTCCAAGAGATCTAGGTCTAGATTCTAGGATGTAAGGATTACTAGGAGTACTGACACCCACTCGGGCGGACGGGAGAGCTCGGAAAGCAGTTCCCCGCAAACCGTAAATTAATACGAAAATAGAGAGACAACTTTTTCCACTTACTGTTTGTTGATTTTCAAATATAATAGAATAATAGCAATTAAATGCGATTAATATAAAAAAAAACGTGAATAAATCATAATTAATTGTTTGTCTATTTGCGGCCGGCGGCCCCCTCCCCCCGCAATGACCCGCCAAAAACCATCAACCACCCACCACCCACTCCAGAAGAAGCAAAAACCAGACGATGAACTGGGGAAGGGGCCGGCCGACTAACGAGTATTTCAATGTCTATAACTACAGTACACAAAACTATATTAAATAAGCTCGCAACCGAAACGATAACGATACGCCAGATATATATCCTATATCCGATTCACAGAACAAACTGAATAGAACAGGATGCCCTCCGGTTGGGAGTGTGTGGGGCGAACAGGAACTGCAGATATGTATGTATGCAATGGCGCATAATTAATTAGGCTAATTATTTAAACACGGAACACGGAACACAACTCTAATGTCAAACCAACACGAACCACAGAAAATGGCCTAATTGCAGCGAAATAGTTTCGGTTCGATTGGCATGTCCGATGAGGGAGCCTGGCCATTGCACCGGGCAGGGTATGATGTGTGGAGGAGGCCTAGGCTGCTAGTCAGCAAGGGGCTGAGTTGGTTTCAAAAGGATCACATTTCGAATTCCAAAAGCTACAAAATACACTAAATACTTAGTCTTTCGGATGGATTACCTCTAGGTTATAGCATAGTAGGGTTTTCGTGAGGTATACGTAGTGTGGTGGGGTTACTTTGTAAGGGGAAGTTCTAATGGTCATCTGGAGATCTATAAAAGGTGCTCTGAAGTTGAAGACCTTAGAAAGAGGCCCTACAGAATGTGGGTTATAGGATTGCAAGGGCCTAAACAGGATGGTGACCCCGACAAGGAAACCTCTCATGGTACATGCTGCGTATATGTTGTGAAACCCCATTTCCGCCACATCTGCACTGAGAACAAATGTAGGATCTCGAAAACACACACGAGGTCAGGGCGAGTATTCATGTTTCGCAAAATACACACAGAGAAAAACTCACTTGACAAAATCAAATGTGCCGAACTTTTGTAGCAAGCCAAAAAAGCACAATTTACAAAGAGAAACGAACAATTTATAAATGTACTACACACATTTTAAAGGATAAACTAGCTATAGCCGTATAGTCGGGATATATATGAATATATATGTGTATCGCTGAGTATGTGTATGTCCTTTTGAGTGCATGTAGGAGCTAGGAGAGTAGCGTTTTCTTTTCCCCGATACTTATCGATAGGCCTAAGGATGCATCCCTATTTCCGGTCTAATCCGACGTATATACACAGACAGACATACATACATATATATGGCATATATATAGACGCGATTGATAAATTATAGAGCCGAGGAGGAGGAATCTTTGAAAATCTTAGAAATAAAGCCAAAGTAAACCACAACCGTACACTGCAAGTGGCGCGTATTTGTAAGTAGTAGGAATCATCTATGCCCGTTTATATATACATACAAATATATATATATATATATATATATAGGTGGAATATAATCCCTGACTAACGATTTAACCACTTTTGTTGTTTACGTTTGTTCGAATTGTTTTATTGACAATTTCTCCCAAAAGCAAAGGAAACAAAACCGAAATCGAGCGAATGCCAATGAGGAAATATTATGAATATTATGAATAATATTAAATAAATAAACTTAAACTACTCGTAAATCAAATATTAAAGTTAGGCCAAGCGTTTAGAACTTTTTTTTTTTGGGTCGAAAGCAAAACAAAACGAAAACGAATGGAAATAAAAAAAAAAAAGAAATAAGTAAATGTGATTGTTATTTAAACTTAAGTTATTATTAATACTTAAAACTTTAACTGATATGTGTGTGCGTGGGTGTACGTTTACGAAATTTAAAACCAAAATGAAATGAAGATAAAGCCAAACAAAAAAAAAAATCGAAGCAAATCGAAAAGAAAGTGGGAGACAGAAAATTAAATAGAAAAACTTTAAAGAAAAGTTAAGATGGCAATGGAACGCTCAACAGTAATGGCAGGCGATTTACGATAAACGATTAACGATTAACGATAGCTGGCAACTATGTGAGGTAGAAAAGTTAGCAAGCCCGGCTAGTTTTGGGGACTAACCCGCAAATAAATGAAATTCAATATTAAGAACGATTGCAACCGAAACCAAGAAGAGAAATACACACAGAAGCAAAGTCAACCGAATGGCATTTTCATTGGGCATGGGGAATTGGTAGCTGGAATTTTGGAATTTTTAATTTTCGTGACTACAGTTTTGCAGCAAAAGGGGCTCCATCGATTCTGATTCTCATTCTGGTTCTGATGCTGATTCTGATTCGGAGCCTGGCATAAAAATCGAAGCCATCCGGGCGATACAGTTGCGCTTAAAGACCCCTAAGGCCTGGTCCAAACACCCGTTGAGTTGAGCAGCACAAAAACCCTCCGGGCTAAAAATGTCAGGACTCGGAAAGGACCAGCGCCGGCGAATGGGAGCGAAAGGAGCAATAGAGCGGAATGAAGTAGCTCTTTGTGGGCATGGGGATGTAGAGATGTAGAGATGTGGGGATGTGGGGATAGAGAAACCGGAACAGAACGAGCGTGCATAGAGCAGGCTGCAATTGGAGGGGGAAATTGCAGCCAACAGCACTTGGTCGGACGTTTTGAATTTCAGCTACAATCACCTACAACACCCAGCATGGAATGCTGCCCAGCAGATACCTGGCTGCAGGTAGGTATGATGGACTATAAAATCATTCATTGCAGCAATACATTATGCTTTAAAAATCATATAACATTAATTTATTTAAAATTTGAATTTAAAAAAATGGCCCGCCATTAATACAGGTTTTTAATACAGGTTTATGTCTTACACAGCACTACTGCTCTTATCGGTAGATCTATCGATCATTGTGAACTGTCATCACTAGCGCGAACTGCGATCTCTAAAGGACGCGATCCAATTGGACTAAAAATTCAAATATTTTTCGCTCGTTTTCGTCGTTAAATTTTAATTATAATAAGGTTTAAAAGTTAATTAGGGTTTACTAGCGATAGCTACGTTTAAAATCAAAACGATTAAGTATTCGCGATCAGTGCCGGGAGTGTTTTGAGTGTTAGATCCTTATGATGGTGTCTTGAAATCTTAATTTTGTATTTGATTATTTTGTTAAGTGATTATTCTTTTAAATTAATAATATAATGTAATTTAGTAACAAGTTCATCTTATAAAAGTGTTAATAGTTGTTGATCCTTCGGTTAGAACGCGATTTCGGGCATTCGGTTGTTTTGGATCGCGTCCTGTACAGTCCCTTTGGGGAACAGTCCCCACATATTTTACATGTAGGATTTGTGTAACTAACGCATGTCGAAATATGTAAAAATACATGTAAGTACATATCCTTATTTTAAATTAAATAATTCTTAAAAATAAGGGTTTTTATTTATTAAATTATAGTTTGAAAATAATAAAACTAATATTAAAAAAAAAGGATATGGCAAAGTCAGTACGATTCTCTCTGTGGTGACCACTTTTCTCGGTTCCACTTAATTGCTGGGCAGCTCATGTTGTCTGCTGGCTCCGTTTGGGCTTTAACTTTTTACTAATTTTAAATGGCGTTGCCGCAGGACGAGGCCAGCAAAGGGAAGGGCAGTGGCAGTGGAGTGTCATGGAGCTGCTGGCGGTGGCTTCGGTGGTGATGGTGGCGCCGGAGGCTCTTGTTGTCAAGTGCTGTCCTGTGTGTGCTCGAAAGTTGAGTCGACTTGAAATTTTAATGAAATGCGCTGCTCTCGAGCCCAGCGTCTATGTCTATGCCCGGAAACTGGCACGGCCAGGCCCTGTGTTCCGGGTCGTCCCGGATCCAGGATTCGGGTTTGGTTTCGACTTTGGCCAGGGCTTCGGTTTGGGCTTTGGCTTAACCCCCCCCTCTTGGCGTCTGCATTTCAAATTATTTTTAATTGTCATTTCTGCGGCAAAGCCAGCATCTCATTTTCGGGCGAGACTCTTGGTCCTGTCAAAGGATCCGCCCTGCTCTGGACCCATCCTGGGCGCATTTGCGGCAATCAAAATATTTATGCCATGGACAGTTGATTAACCGCAAACTGGCAAACGAGCCTGCTGGTCGCGGCCTCGTTCATAATTAAAATCAAATTAACTCTCAGAGGGGGCCCACCCACTGGCAATTGGGTGGTGGATGGGGTGGGGTGCGATTCCGGTTCGTTTGGCGCACAGGTGGAGGCGGAGGGTGGGGGCTTTGTCATAATTTTACATTTCGGCTAGCATTATGCAACCGGGTGCCCTGCTCCTGCGGGAGGAGCAGAATCACTGCAATCGGAGGGGGTGGCAAAATAAAATTGGTATTTGGGGGACGGTAGCCAGTCAGAGTCAGCCATTCTAAACGCCGCAGATCATTAATCAAAAGCTGCAACCAAACTGACAGATTGGTGGAATGGGCTCCGGGCTCTGGACTCTGGTCTTCACTTTAAAAATATTTCAATAAATACCCAGCACTTTTATTAAATTTTAAAGGGTATCTGGTATTTGTGATGGCTCATCAACATCAAATGCCATTTTAAAACGGTCCCAAATTGATGAAATTAGTGGGACAAATGGAGCTTTGGCACGTTGCAGTGATTGCAGGACTGGGCCAAGTGATTGATTGAATGATTGATTGATGGCTCCGCGAAACCAGTGGCTGCCACTGGCTGTTCAAAATTTGTTGCGAATTTATGGGCCAGTGGCCAGTAATTGGATTTAATTTGCAGCACCTCAACCCATCAGCGTTATAACTACTACAATGTTGCAGCTACATACATTATGGACATCATCATGCCCCATTGAGTCGGCAATCTGTGTAAAGTCCTTCCTAATGGATTTCGTGGAATTAACTTTCCGAGATTCATCTCCAATTTATACGCTTCTGATTCAATTAATTTTTATTAATTCTCCCGAAAAGTCCCGACACCAACTAACAGAAACCATATACGGAAGTTCATACAGGAGTGGGGGATTGCAGGACTCCCGATTCCCGACTCCCGAAAAAAAATAAATCAAAACAAGTGACGGAAAGTCAGAAAACGGTCGACGATGCGTGGCCAGAAATTTAATTGATTCAAACAATTCAAACGATTTGCACATTAAAACTCCGCACCCCAACCCGCACCCGACTGCCATCCGGGGCCGACAAATCAAATTGAAAAGCCAATTGAATGTGGACGCAGCCCATCCGCATCCGCATCCGCATCCGCATC